TTGCAGATTCTTCAATAGGCCTGTCAAGCTTGATAGCATTCTCACCAGCATCGGAGATAAATCTAGCTAAATAGAAGCTCCATTAGCTGCATCTTTTGCTTCTTAGTGACTGCAAAACCTTCCTACTTTATTTCCCTAAGGTGATTGATCATCACATTTGAGAAACATTCCACTTATCAAGCAGGGGAAGCTTCTTATCAAGCAAAGAGCAGAGATGACAAACTTCATGCAGCTCCAATTACAAAGTTTACCCTATGAATTCATCATTTTGAAAGGAAGAAGGCAATTCGTATAGGTCACCCTCACCCAAGACTAGAAATTTAAGAACAAGATATTGAATGCCACTATTTGTTGAGATGATCAAATCTATCAATCTGTCAGTATTATTAGGATAACTTTCAAAATGATGAATTCATAGGGTAAACTTTGTAATTGGAGAAGTTTCAAAATGTGAAAGATAATCTCTGTGAAGTTGCTCACACGACATCCAATATCCATTTCAGTTTTCCAAACGACTCCTAATAATAATTAGGGATAACTTAAAAAAAAAATGGACAAGTAATTAGAAACAGAGGAAATAGCTCAAAAGAATGACCATTGAGATATCCAATTTTTTTATCAATAAATGAAGTAAGCCTTAAATACCATAAAGCGAGTTTGAATATGCTCTCTCCCAAATTACCATAAATTTTTCTTTTTATCCACACATAACAAGTACCCTAAAAAATTCGATAAATTTGATTATTTTATACACCCTCGGTCTCTTTTTACTTGGTCAATTTGACTTTTTGTTTGTCCTTTTTTACTTGTCATTTTTGACAAATCAAGAAAATACAATATTTTTTACTTATTATATCCTCAATTTATTTAGAAAACTAATGTTTTCGAAAAAGGTAAAACTTTTTTAATGAGTAAATTGATTTTGAATTTCTATCAATTAATATGGATAAAATGGTAAACTCACTATTTTTTACAAATATGCACTTTAACTATGCACTTTAACTATCCGAAATTTAAACAAAAAAACACTCGGATCCTACCTGGCAAAATGCGTGAAATAACACTCAAATTAGGCGCATCAGATGTAAAAATCGAGGGGCCCAACAGTTAAAAAAAGCATTGAAAGGACAATTAAACCCTCTTTCTATTTTTTTCAACAATTTTCCCCTCTTTTTTGCATTATTTGTTGTTCACTGCAAAAAACAAGTGACATTTAATTAATTTTTTGTTATTGTGAAAAAATATTATAATGAAGTTTTTTTTTTGGCAAGATGGGTGAGTATACACTTGTAAAAGTCGAATGCAATTTAAGTTCGAAGGTTCTCGATCAATGAATCTGATTCACACTTAAGGGATCCCTTACATTTTGATTAGGTATCAGATTGCTACTCAAATTTGACAAAAATCTCTGAAAAATTCATTCAGACAATTTACCAAACACTTTAAGTACACCATTTTACTTAATAATTTTTAACACTGTATGTTCATTTTTTGGCCTCCAAAAATTCATAATTGTAATTTGCTATTCACTATGACAATCACAATACACAAAACACCCTGTTTTTTTCCATTAAGTATTTTGACAACTTAAAGCACAAATACACTTCAAACTAAAGAAAAGAAGGAGAAGTTCATTGATTCTCATGTCTTCCCCATATTTATGGGCTGCTCTGAAATAATTTTGCAACAAAAACATTAGTTTCCTCTAGTGATTCTCATATTAGCTTGAGCATTTGACCAATAATATGCAAATTCTTGTTTGTAAAATGTTGAACCTTGATACCATGACTAAATTGAGAAAGAAGAATAGATTGCCGTTCAAGTATATGAAATTTCAGCACATATCTTGAACAATTTTTTCTTTGATTTGAATATAAGGGGCATGAATTTTAGAAATTCAGATTAGGATTTTGTTTTAGAAGAAAAAGAAGAAGAGCGTACTAATTATTTTTTTTCCTAAAAATGAATTTGTTTTCACTTTCATTGGGAAAACTTGGGATGTGGCGTTTGGCAATATAACTTGGCAATTTTATTTGCCAAGAATCCCAAGTTCCCAAATACTAGAAAAAAACTACTATTTGAGCCAAGTGAATGAAATTGTTTTCCACTGCCCATAAATAAGGAGTTTGTAAATAGAGTGTAACCAATTTCGTTAGAAACAGCTGCAACTGAAATTTGCATTTTCGTAGTGAGCAATATAACAAAAGAAGGTCCATACCACTGCTACTAGCTAGGGTACAATGACACCCATCAAATCTCCATAGACTTGAGAATCTTCGGAAAAGGCTTAAGCTAGCCACAGGGGAATTGACAAAGTTCAGAATAATACAGAGCCACAACATAATTTTCAAATAAATCACCACATACCAGTTCAATCATTTACTCAAACGTTAAGGACTACTTCTGTTTTAGGTGTTGCATGCCAAAATGCATTTACAACAGCGAGCAAACAGGTCTTTTTTGGAAGTGACTTGCTGACACAATTTAATTTGACTTGAACATGAATGGCGATTCAAAGCCTTTATTTCCTATTAAATTGATGTACGAGTACAAATGCAAAGTAAAACACAACATAAAGTTAAAATAACCAATAACATCTTATTTCTTGTCGTAAGTCTCATTTTTTAGATCAGTCAAGAACATGCTCTAAATGTAAAATCCCTTAGTGTCATAATACGGAACTCCAAAGAAAAACAGATTAGTCACCATAATAATTATAAACTACTTCTACTTCAGGTGATGCACACCAAAACTAGTTTAGCACAATGAGGGTTGTGATTGTTTTGCTAGCATGATCGTCTGCTGTCAAGGATCAAATAGCATTCTTTCCAGCGCGGGAGACATAGCCAACAAAAGCTTGATAAGTTACATCTCAGGGTCTGAGCCTATAGTGTACTTCTTAGCTTAACTTCCCTAAAGTGATTAAATGTCACATCTTAGTAAGCTTCCAATTCAAGACATTCTAGAATATCATTATCTTCATCAATAACCTAAGAAGGATTATTGTAGAAGTTAAGAACTCAAGGCTTATCAGCCATTGTTTAAGCAGAGAAGAAAACAGAGATAAGAAGAAGAGAAGGAGATTTTGGGTGTGTTTGGTACGAAGGAAAACATTTTCCGCAAAATGTTTTCCAATTTTCTCATGTTTGGTTGGGCTAAATGTTTTTCAAATCAACTCATTTTCTTCAAATTTAAGGAAAATGACTTCCCTTCTAAACTTAAGGAAAACATTTTCCAAAACTCTCTTCCAACTTCAAATTACAATTATTTTTTTGTTGAAAAAATCAATTTATTTTGTCCCTACCCTCAAACCACCCCTCCTCCAAAAAAATAATAATTTTAAAGCTTGTTTTAAATTCAATTTTTTTACCCCACCCTCACCCCTACTCCACCCCCTCCCAAAAAAATATTAAAAGTTGTTTTTAAAAGATATTTCTAATTTCAATTTTTTATTTTTTTAACCCCCAACCCAT